ATTGAATACTTCAGCCATTTGATATATTCTCAAAAATTCAGTTCACAATATCAATTGAATTATTTTCTTCTTCTGTTTCTATCGCATGGATTGTTTTCAGTTTCGATTTCAGAATAGCATGAATAACTGTTCTGATGAAACATCCAACAGAAGTGTTGACAAAGCTACGAACGATATAAATCTAAATTCGAATATGCAACAAAAAGATGTCTGCTGTTGAAATCGTATTGATAATAATAAAAAAACTGTGGCTAAGCGCCGCCTTCCATTCAAATTAATTGCGATTTAATATCTGCCCTAAAAATGACATGCCACAAAAACCATATGTATTTTAGGAGCATCCGCTGCGATTTATCTGCGGGAAATAATAGAAAAAGTCTGAAAACTAAATTTAACAAATAAAAATTAGTTTGTGGTTATTGTTCCACTTGAACGTACATTGAACAGTAGCAGCATCGGTATGCTTGATTCATCTAGTGGTGCATTGCGGATAGATTGAATAAGTGTATAACAATCGTATCGTATTATTGTCATCATGATACTTGTAAAGTGCTTGAATTTGATTTTTTTTGCCGCACCAAAGCCGGAAAATATAAGGAAAAAACCCAATTCAAACAAGGTAAACATGGAACTCGAAAATTTGCTGAACTAGGGAAAAAGAGAGGTACATCCAACACTTGAGATTTTAATCTATTTTCGTTAATCTATACAATGTTGGGAACAACGAAATCGATGAACAAGGGAAACAAAATTCAACTAAATAAGTTGTCGTTCATGAAAGCCGACAACAGTAATTAAACGTTGCATGTGTCAGGTCAGAAACGTGATTTGGTACAATATAAATTGTTGCGTTCAATGATATGATAATTCAGGCAACTGATAAACACGAAATAAATTGGACTATTTCAATGAGATTGTGTTTCTTTTTACTTGAATTCAATTCGAATAAGCCTGAATTAATTTCAATTTTTATGAAGACGCTAAGCAATTGATAAAAAACACCCGCAACCGCACAATCAAATAAACAAATACAGAGTTGAGTAAAATGACGACCAATCAAATCATTTATTATGATTTCTGACTACAAAATCAAGTGTTATTTATATTCTTTTATTAGATTTTCTTTAAATGTGTGAATTTAACGAAGGAACTATGAATTGTCTTCAATGTATATTATGAATTTATGGTGTATTATTGGTTTGCGAGCTAGATGTTGTTTATATTTTATAATTTACATAGGTTTTTATTGTCCCAAAATGTTGGAACTTGTTACAAAAGAATACTGTCGACTTTTCCTACTGTAATGAAATTCGAATGAAACAAATATATAAAAAACAATTAAAAATAATGGATTACTGTAAAAGGGTCTGTACTAGATTATAGAATGAATAAATAAATGACTTTCACAAATTTCTTCATCCATATTACTATACTTCAAATTTAGCGGATCAATTCGGTCGATTTTCTGACCGAATCATATGTTCCTTCCCTTGTGTTGCCCAATCATTCGCGGAAACTGCGGCAGTTTAACTGCTATAACCATCTCGATGAATTCGATGGCTTTGTCAATGAATTTGAAGAACTCTTCACTGAAGTACAACGTTCTGCCTTCGGAAAACTGATGAAGATGTTTTGAAGCAATGATCCAATTGAAAAATACTGTAGAATTCCGAACTATTCTAAATATAAAAAACGGCTTTTTTGTAAATTAAAGTTTCAATAAAGAAGTAGATGGAGAAAACAGAAAAATATGCGATGAAAATGATTGAAATGTTAGTCTTGAACTGATTCACAATCAAATCAAGTTCGTATCCTTTCTTTCGATAAAGCCCAAATACTCCGATTTCAATTTATGTAGCAATTTGTTTGTGAAAATCAGTTGTAAAGCCTGACAAATCACAAGCGACCGGCAAATGCCGTGGTCAAAGATAAAGTGGACAGATATTTGCAAACATTTTACTCGTATTATACGATCAACGACCAAAACATTTGTATACATTTCTATACTTGATCCGTTTAATCCTATAAACGGTTTGAAAAGGCGGCGGCCGAAAAAAAAAGGAATGCGAGTTCGTTTGCTCTTTTTCTGACTTAAACTTTGCTCCTAAAATGGTACATGCCGGTGTTAGTGTGTGAGAACAAACGAAAAAAAAGAGAGAGAGAGAGACAACAGAAAAAGGCCCATCCAATGAAAAAGACTAATCGCATAGTCAGTAGGATGGCTAATGATTTTTATTTTGTCGGTGCGCATACACATTTTCTCTTCTCTTCTCTTTTTCTGGTTAACACCATGCCGTACAAACGTTTGGAATAGCATTCAAATGGTTTGCAAAATCAAGAGGTAAAGGAGCGCATGAGCCTTTTTCTCATTTGATACTTTGCTAAAATCCTGTTGAAAATCTTCTTAAACATATTACGGGGCATCAGATGAATGACATCACAAGACGCCTAAGTCGAAGTGTGTATCAACTTTCAGCTCATCGGCATCGTTTGATGCGGTGGCCAATAATTGAAATTTGCTCATTTGGCTGGAATGAAAAGTCGAATAAACGCCGGGCGTAATACGAAAACCGTTTTGTTACGCAAGGAAATGAAGGTATGAATTGAGCTTCCGGCATAAATATATATCATGCTGTGTGTGTGTGTGTGTGTGTGTGTGTGGATGAACCGTTCACCATTTTGGTTTGATTGAAAACAATGTTTTGAACTGTATTTTGCACATGGCAAATCAAAGATGTTTCAATTTATCTCACAGTTGTTGCAACGACTATAAACTGTTATTCGAAATTCAATACGTATTAAATATTGAATGGGATTGAAACATACGGAGGAGAGAAAAAAACACCATTTAAATCGATCAACACGTGAGAGATTACAAACGGAGGAAATTTACACGAATCTGATACAATTGTTGTTGGCCGACAAATGCATTTGATGATTGAATATTTGCTGCCCCAAATACACCGAATTGATATACTCATATTTGAAGCGTATGCTTTGGAATGACTCATGAAACAACAACATAAATCTGCACAACACAACTCTCAAATGTTGCAATTTTGTCATTCACCATTCGTCAAATTTTCTGATCACATCGTAAACGAAACTCTCGAGCGTTCTTTTTTCCTAGCTCGTTGGTAAAACAAATGCATTTGTTGCCGTATGTTTACTATGATTATTTTGTACTTGAGAATGAGCCATATGTAAACAGATGAGTTGTCAACAGAAAGCTTAAACCTCATTTGCTGGATTACTTGCATAGAAACTGGCCAATATATCCTCGACTTAACGTAAATTTAGGGCATTTAAGTATTTAACAAATGAATGAATCGGTACACGGATCCCATTCAGGCCAATGCGAATTGTTTTGGAAACATTGAGATTATCTGTGATTTGACGACAACGACAACGACAACGACAACGACAACGACAACGACAACGAC